CCACCCACTCACACGCGCGCGCACACGCACACACAAGTAAGGGGTGGATAAGTAAGTGACCACTTCAAGTTTTAGGATAAGAAATACATACATTGTGTTGAGAAAGGAATCAGTTAAAAAGGTTTAAAGTCCTGAATTTAGTAGTCTAAAGTCGTCGAAACATCTCTTACTCACTTATTTTAAACGAACCCCACCACCCCACACACACACACAACAAAGTCCTGATTTTAGTAGTCTAAAAGTCGTCGAAACATCTCTTCCTCACTTATTTTAAACGACCTCCACCTCCCCCACAAACACACACAACAAATTCCCTCCTGCAACATCAATCAAGAAGCTAAGCTATCTGTCATAAAGCTTAAGTATTGAAATTATTTTCAATATATTCTTAACAAAAGAAAATTAATATTTTGTTCATCCTGATTCAGGAATGGAGCTTCAAAAGTTTCGTTTGGCAGACATAATTTAATTTAAAAACTGAATTTGAATTAAAATGATCAATTATTTTTCGTATATATAAAATTTACTTGGAAATATTTGACGTAATACAATAAATAACATTTTTAGACTTCAAAGGGGTGGATAAGTAATTAACCCTTCAAGTTTTAGGATGAAAAATACAAACATTGTGTTGACAAAAAAATCAATTAAAAAGCTCTAAAGTCCTGATTTTAGTAGTCTAAAGTCGTTGAAACATCTGTTACTCACTTATTCTAATGTTATGGCAACTATTGCTGTTGAAGAAATGCTGCAGAATAGAGAGCATAATAGTATTTGATTAACTAGGTGGAGAGATAAACATATTCAAAGGAATCCTACCTGCTTTTTCATAATCGGGCCAAGCAAACGACGCTCCAATGAAGTACTGATTCTCGATAAATATAAAGCGCTGAGCCGATCGTATTGCTTCGATATATGCCATCTGGATGCTCTTATCTATCACCAAATTCTTTTCATATACAAGATTCTGCAATAAAAGGAAATTTCATTGACTTATTTGAAGACTAGAGAGAAGCTATATCTGCATAAAGGTAAAGACTTATACTTGTTCCTGTGCTGTATGGAAATCTTGAGGGAACCCTTCGGCTGAATTTGAATCAACGGACCGGAAAACCTGTTCAAATCAAAAAATTCCACACAAGGTTAAATATTAATCACCTAGTACTAAATAGAGAAGCTTTCTACAAGTAAAACATGCATGACCTGGATATGCCACTTTTCCGCATCATCTTCATCTGAAACCCACAGCGAAGGGTGGTCAGTGGGAATACTTTTGGAAGGGCTATTTATCTCTGAGATATTTTCAATGTTCACCAAATCATAATCATGTCGACCAAATACTCTTTCATAAAGCTTTGTGAGATTGGAACATTCAGTCACGCTGTCCCATCGTTGTTCAAAGTTTTTTAACACGTCATACGCCGCGGGGCCTTCGATTTGACAGTGCAAATCGTGCCATGGCTGTCTTGGCCCCGTTTGTTTTTTCTATTGAGAAATAAAGTACAAATCATCAAGTCACATAATTGCGAATATTGTAAATGCGTTAGTAGAAGTATCAAGAATTGCAGCTAGAGATTTGAATGCAGTTGCTTACATCAAATGATGGATTATGGTAGTCGTCCTTGAACACTGTGTCGAGATCAGAATATAGCCGATGAGTTGGCGTATCGTATCTTCCATCACAGAGATCCAGGCCGCCAATAAAAGCGGTTATTTTTCGGCTATTTTCAGAAATGCCTTTGGTGTCAACGATCACGGATTTTTGATGTTGAGTATAAAAAATCCGACCTACCTGAATAGATCAAGAAAAAAGTGAAAAAGGATCATTTTATAACATTTTTGTGGAAAATCAGCCAGAATTTGACGAAGCTGTGAAGGCCTTTAGTAAGAGCTGAATTGATTTGAATAGATAAACTGTAAAGCATACCTGTGGTATGAAATTGGTTAATTTGTAACGAGGAGCCAAAACGCACGTAACAGACGAGTGCTTGAAAAACTTTCGAGTTTCCTCGTCATGGGTTTGCATCATTCCGGGCTGCAATAAAGTAGATCAATAATATATCATCCGATAATTATGTACACAATACAAGAAAACCTAACAATTCAAAACAATTTCTTACAGTTTTGAAAAAGAACATGTCGTTTGAAGTTTTGTCGTCCCATATTAGGAGCACGACTCTGACTCCCTGTTGAGCCTTGTGCTTCAGCAGCTCCCCTAGATTGAAGTCCCCAGGAATCGGCAATGGTCTAGTAGACTCTCTCACAAGCCTTACCTGGTGGAATATCGACCACCCGGTTATGTATACCTGTCAGCAAATCAGCAAATCAGATGAATCCATGTTCATTTAGTAGATATGGTATAGATTTGCCAATAGCTATTAGAAAGGGTACTAGATCTTATAGCTGATATACTAACAAAGGTTTTGACGGGAAATACATATGATTATCTAGTAAACAAGTTTGGACTCATCAACATCTACGGCCAAGCTTGAGGGGGAGTGTCACAAAATCAGCAACTCAGCAAATCAGTTTAATTAAGGTTTATATAGGAGATATGGTCTAGTCAGATTCCTAATATAACTGATTGCGTACAGCTATTAGGAGTTGGCAGGTTGTAATTAGCATAATCATAGGAATCAGTCAAAAGGGATTTGCATTCAGACTTTGCCTATCCCAAGTTTATTACATTTATTCTCTGCACGGAAATAAAATAACACATAATTGATTTATTTTAAAGTAGTGTCCAATTACCAGATGTCGTGCCTCCATTATTAGATGGCAGATGTCCTCCCAACACTTTTGGTGCTCAAAGTTTCTTCCGTCTTCCAGTCGTATTTCAGGCAGCATTCCATCGACCACGTGTGCGTCTTGATACAGTTTTAAATTCCCGCCATGCCGCATCGGAAAATAACTCTGCCCTAAAGCATAATCTTCCGAGATTCCATTCTGGTAGACAGGATTCTCGTCACATGGAGTGAATTTTATTTGAAGTCTGATCGCAGTATGAGGGCCATGTCTCCCTACCACCGGGAACCACTCATCTATGAGTTCGCCCGTGGCAATTCTGCTTGCCGGAACAAACGCAGCAAGTTCCGTTTTCGAGATGTGGGTATCCACAAGAGCAAATTTGACCTGTATTTACCGGTCAAATATCAGAACCTTTTTTTACCGGGTATAATAATTCTGAAATCTCAATTTATTACGAAAAAATAGATAAAACATTACTATCGATTCATACATACTAACAAAATATGCTGAAAATACTTTAACGAGGATAACAACGTATCATATGCTAGTAGATTTCAATTAACTTGATGATACTAACACATTTTTGTATGTATCATATCGTCATATACAATTCCAAAACCAAAATACATGCATTTTCATGAAAATACCCATACAAACTTAAATGTTTCCACCTTTCAAACAAAATTATTTCCCACCTACAGCATGCAAATATATGCATTTTTCTCCACCTACAGCATGCATATATATATATATATATATATATGTATATTTACAGTTATATACAACTATAAAATTGTCAGGAGCAAAATATTAGGTCCTCAGCATACACACACACACACACGGGATTTTCTGGTCGTACTGCGAAAAAAGCTTCAAAACAATGAGACAGATCAAACTCATCTGTTATGGTTCAGAAATTGTGATCCAGGCAATGAAACTAAAAGGTTTTCCTTTTCTTATGCCACTAGTGTACAGTTGCAAATTGAATTCACGGAATACTAATTCATCATTTTTTTTCAATAAGAACTTGGCTACTACTTAAGATGAGTAGTCACTGAGTGACTGTACTAATCAATATTTACTAATTGTCGTACTCTACAGCTCCCACACTTGAAAAACTCCTTTCAGACTACAGCAACAAGTGATTAACCCTGAACCAAACACAACTTGTTTCTGAAACTCCATCCAAAAAAAACAAGATTGGCACTTAAAAAAGAGATCCCGCTAGTTGTTCGAGTAACATGCCCATACGGGCTCTCAAGTCTGAACTACGTAATTATACACAACCATGTATCTTCAACGTGTGCAAGATCATCAAAGGCAATAATTGTAACATCCCAGCTATTAACCATAAAGGATAACTCCCATTTCTGTTCACATCAAGTCCACATTCTAAAGAAGTAAAGAGCTACAAAGGTAAGAGTTCTAAATTATAGAATCCTAGTCCATATATGCCTTCAACATTCAGAATATTACAAGATATAAAATGTAAAGAATACCATACCTGGTCAACAGGGTAAGCTACAACGAGCTGGAAATGTTCGTTCCAATACAAAGGGCTTTGAGAGTGGGCTTGTACACGCTCGGTTCGAACCACCCGCGCGTCTCCCATGTACACTTTGATGTACGGACGTATGAGATAAAAACGAATTTGCTCGGCGGTTGATCCTGCGCCTGGAATTTGTCGAGCTTCGATGATTCCAAGCTGTAAATTGCCATGAAGGTACACTCTGTTTTCACTTGCCATTTCAACTCACAAACCACTATATTATTCTACGTAAAATGAAGAAGGGCAGGGGTAAAAAGACACAACAAATATGAGTACTGGTTTATGTTATATGTAAATAGTTACAGTTGTGATATATTATATTATATTTTAAAGAATGTTAAGGTAGGATTTTTGAGAGGGAGAGAGAGAATATCAAAAACATAAAGCTGCTGAAAAAAACTTGAAAAAGGTAGTTGGATTTATTCATTAAATATATTATTAATTAATCTAGAACACTTATGCATGTATCACAAAACAGGAAATGTGAAAATTACATGGTACAAGAACTTTGACTGATGTACTTACTTAATATGTCAATAGTGTCATTTATTCATATTAAAGGCTGATACTAGTCAACATCATCAGTAGAATATAATGTTGGATGTGGTGATATTGCATCACCTTAGTACTATATGTCTTTACTAATTTGAATTCATGGAAATTTAAACTACACTCTTCTTGCCCAAATAGGGCCTCAGCCTCAATTAAATCTAAACCCTATCTTTTTTCAAATAAGATCAAATTCATTCTTCCTATTTTTTTATACAAACAAGATGTATTTCATTCTCCATCCAATTCTTGAAATTGAGTTTGAAAGTTCTAACTTCTTTGTGGTTGCACTTTTTAAATCTTGATAATTACCTTGTGGTCGGAAATTATTACAACTTTATGAAAAAATATATATGATTCGAAGAAAATAACTCATTCGGCACAGAAAGAAAAAAGAGCTGGATAAAATTTAAGGTGACCCGTTTGAGAAATCTTTCACACTCCAAGAACTTCTCCCTCCCTCCCTCCCTCCCTCCCTCCCTCTCTCTCTCTCTCTCTCTCTCTCTCTCTCTCTCTCTCTCTCTCTCTCTCTCTCTCTCTCTCTCTCTCTCTCTCTATCTATATATATATACACACACACACACACACAGCATGTAAAAAAATTCAAATCACCCCAAAAAAATTATCAGCCGATTTTATTTTTAATCACCCACTCACTTTTTTCCCTAATTGATTATGAATTCCCACCATAATTATTCTATAAAATAAATTTTACTAGTTTCCTCAAGACTAAAATAAGATGGATATATCTTTAGTTGGAATATATCTAAATATAGAGCAGCAAAATTGGACATTGATGAAAATGTTTAACAGCGACAGGACTTAATTTGTTTCTCATTTGATCTGAAGAAGAAAAAATCAAGTGCTGATCTCTCTCTCTCTCTCTCTCTCTCTCTCTCTCTCTCTCTCTCTCTCTCTCTCTCTCTCTCTCTCTCTCTCTCTCTCTCTCTCTCTCTCACTCTCTCTCTCTCTCTCTCTCTCTCTTTTTTATAAAGCAATTTTACTAGTAAAACTGTCTGGAGGAAAAATGCTTCAGAAAAACAAAACAAATTGGAATTGATTACAAGTTGCACTAATAAAAGAGAGAAAAAGAAGTGATAAATGAGGATATTGTAAGAGTTTAGGAAAGCAAAATTGAAGATTGTAATTAACACAATATTTGTATTGTAACGCGAGAAACAATATAGAACAAAAAAACAATCTTCGAAGCAACAATGTTTTAGGAAAAGCCATATAACCAACTACAAGAGTCCAGGTTTAAGATTGAAATAAAATGCATTCCAACCAAACCAACAACCAGTAGAATAAGAGTAAATATCAAAGCCGAGCCTTATGTTGCACATACAGAAGGGCTCTATCCTCTAAGAAATTGTTATTAACTACATCGATATTCTAACACGGCAAAGGTGCATAGGTAGCTCAGATGTCATCTATTGGTGTTTACTAGAAGCTCCATTACATTGCCATAGGCCGAACCAAGAATAACACGCGTTCAATATAATCCGTTTGCACTTATTGTGGAATGTATACCATATAGTGGCAGCTGACTGCAATAAAAATAAATAACAAGTTATAGAATATATTATACAAGCAGGTGAACATTTTGCAGAGGAGACTAAAATATAAAGTGGGACACTAAACTTTTTTCCAATGAGAAGGTCCAATTGTGCACATGAAAGCTTGAAAGAGAGAACAGGAGGCAATAGAATTTCAAATGTTAGTAAAGTTAAATGTCTAGACTATCAGATAATCACCAAGAACAAAATTATGATCAGTGATCAGACAACATAAGTTTTAACAATAATTTAGTCCTATTTTACGAGCAAGTAGATATATTATAACAACTGGTACAATTTCATATTTTTTTATTAGGAAGCAGTTTTCGGTACATATAACAGTACATTGCAACCTAAACCTGTAAAATCATTTTAGGAGGCAGCTTTCTAGTTCTTACAAAGGTTATCACTTAGCCTTATATTGAACGCGTGTTATTCTTGCTTCGACCCAGGGCCCTGTAATGGAGCTTCTAGTAAGCACCAATAGATGACATCTGGTTATTGGTTTGGTTGGAACTGATTTTACTTCAATCTTACAGCTGGACTCTTGTAGCTACTAATATGGCTTTTCCTCAATGCTTTGGAGAGTGGTTTTTTGTTCTAGATTATCTCTTGCCTTACAATCCAAATAATACAGTAATTATACCGCCTAAAGATTATTACTTATAAAGATTATCACTCAGCACAGTTAATTTGTTTCATACAGCAACACAAAAGTGAGATGACAAAATGGAAAGAAGTATAAATACCTTAGGTCAATTAACTCCAGTGTTAGATCACTGATTTTCATGCCACGGAATCTGACTGGAGCCATGGTACTTTCAAAGGGGATATCACCACCCTCTTGTATTGCCTACAACATAATAAGCCAAACATAATTCATAAAGCAGGATCACCTACATCATAAAGATAGTACACAAAATAGCATCTATTTGGTTCTATTTTTCCATTATGTAGCAATTTTTTTTTCTAGATGCAATCCTTTTTCTTCTTTTCAACTTTCAGCTCCTCGAAATCTTTCATATAACGACCCAGGGCACCAGAAAAAAATAGGAACGAGAAAGTACAACGAGTTGGAAAAGAGAAAATATACTTACAAAGTGTAAGAAATTAAAAGAATTTCAGCAATGACTCAAAGTAGATGGAATAGTATAAATAATACTAACCACATTTAGTGATCAATGCAGTTGACGACACCAGCACAACCAAGCTATAGAGAACTAACTTTTCCAAGCAAAAAGCTGCAGGCTGATATCAATAGCTCTTCCATAATATCCAACTGGAGCAATGTGAACATAATGAGCAAGCTTGTCTGCAAGTACAAAAGCACTAGATGGTAAAGATAATACATCTTGACCTTAGCAATCACATAAATAGTTCTATAACATGCAATTAGATATTACACAGTAGCTCTACCTCTCGAATTCAAAAGCTGAAGCTCTACAAGTGCTTTAAATTGAGGGCATGCAATAGTTTACTCATCAAAGTAACTTCAACAAAATAAACTCAAATGCTTTGAGCTAGAAATTGAGGGCATGCAATAGTTTCTTCATTAAAGAAACTTCAACAAAATAAACTCAGATGTCGGTCCACAGACATGTACACACAAAAGAACAAATAGAGAAAGACTCGTAAATATTCGGCCATATTATCAAGGTGATGGTTGACCCAAGTTAACTGCACACCATTAAAGGAAAAAAAAAATCCACAGCCGTGTAGGCCAGTTCTTTCCAGCACAAATCCACAGTAAATCTCACAAAACTGAAAGGTAAAACCAGAAGTGAAAACAGCAGAGAAAATTACAACTTAAACTTCTATCTCTACGGAAAAGACAACCAAAGAAATATAGCATATATAAGAAACATATTTTTTAAAAAAAAGTATCCAGGCAAAGGGTGATGAATAAATTACTTCTTCATATTAGCCATGTGATAATCATCGACATCCAGATACTAATTAAAGAGGTTGCACCTGTAAGAAAAAAAAACAAACATATAAACTCCTAACATCAGAACAATAATAAAAATTAAGCATGAAGTACACAAACAAATATTTGCACAACCCTAAAAAGGTAGAAGTAAAACAGAAGAAACCCATAAAAGAGGCCATTAATAAATAAGATTCAAATTAAAAACTTAATTAAGTTAGTTATGTCCATAAATGAAATCCAGCAATCAAACTTAATCGAAAAAATCATTTTAGGTTAATCGAGGAAGTCAATAAAGAACAGATAATGTCGGAAAATGGTCCTACCAAAAAATAGATGTGAAACAAACAAAACCCATCCAAGACGCCCTCAATAAACTCCAGCAACTTCATATTCGTCTTGTTTTTGTAGCCAAGCTCTTGGAGGAGGCAATTAAGCAAGGGAACAATTTAATATGAAACAATAAGCATTACTGAAAAAATGGAAAATGCTCGACTTGAACAACACCGATATTGCATTTAAATTTTGAGCCAAAACGGGCATTTAAATAGGAATCACTACATATATATCAAACGACTACACGTAACTCAAGAGTTAAGAAAAATGATGATATTTAAAATAATATGCTCATCTCATTAGTTTCTTACTTTCTTTAACACAACTGGCTTAGGCGATAAATGATAACAATACGTCAACCATGTGTCCAGCATCTCCATTATGTTCTTACCTTTTCAGTAACCCTTGTTTATTTTTTGTATCTTTCTTACCGACGGGATACAATTTGCAGTGCAACATCATTCAGAGAGTGGAGATTACTGTGGGTCTCTAAAGCATTAACATAGCTAGTTCAAAGCATGCACTTATGCACCAAAGCAATGAGATAAGTGATGAAAAGTGGTAGGAATATTACCCACAGTAACTTTCACATGCATGGTAAAGAAAAAAATTCAAAACATAAGATAAATAATATAAATATTCTACTCCACTCTATCAGTTGACAATTATTAAAACTTGAAAACATATAGTTGTTGAACAAACCTTAATAGAGATGTTTCCCTGGTGTTTCTTCAGTATATGTAGAAAAAGTGTGTTCAGTATCCTCAGTAGCTCAAGAGCACAAATCTAAGAGCACCTGTGAGTATAATTGACCATTGTGTTCTGGAGGTGTTGAGGATAAAGAAATTATTGGAGTACCAACGTTGAATCGGCCAATGCAATGTCTCTTTGGTTTTGGCACCTGTGTCAAAGGCACGAGAAAACCTTTTATCACCTATCTTACTTAAGATTTAAGTGGCATTTGAAAGATTATGAACAAAACACGAACAAAGGAACAAATTAGAAGAATAAACAAGAAATAATAGTTACCATTAATCAGAGTAAATATTAAAGTTGATCTGAAATTGAAGTGCTTCGAGATAAAAAAAAAATGATCGAACATCGATAGTGAATTGTGAAATTAAAAAAAATGGATACAAGAGACTGAAGGGAGCTCCAAGAAACACAAAAACTCCATGACTCAAACTAAGTAACCGACATTAAATCGACTAAGAAACAGATTCAAGAAAATAGAGAAGAAACAAATAAGAAACAAAAATAAGGATATAGGATATATGCTTTTTTAGAGATAGAAACAAACAGAAGATAATGAGAAAAGGAGTAGGAGAAGAAAGAAAATAAATAGGAGATTCTTTTGAAGCACAAAATTAGATCTCTCCCCCTTTTAAATAATTATATCGCCTTTAATGTGATGCTAAGTGTCAGAAAAAAACCACAGTAACTGAACATAAGAGGGGAAAAGGTAAAAAGCAAGGAAAACTTCTAAGCCTAACTTCTAAGCAGCAAACATCCATAACGAGAGGGATCCCTTGTCTTCTAAGCCTAACTTCTTTTTATAGAATAGCACGATACGATAGAAGCCCTAACCTATAGCAAGAGTCTAACCACCTTCCTGCATTGATGGATTGAAGCAGGAATGAGAATAGCCTAGTCTCCTTATGAAGTGAAGCAATTTTATGGTCCAAAAAGAGTACAGAGTCTGCACTTCCGGAAGACACAGAAGGAAGACCAAACAGAGCTCGAGACTGAGAGAAGGAACGAATATCGCTAAAACCGAGACCCATTACCGAAAGAAAAAACTTACGGCTCGACGAGAAAGTGAACAGCAATGACCCTGTATTTAGAACTTTGGAACACATTATCTCTACACCTCTTCAAGATTTAATCCTTCAAAATGGTAAAGATTATGAGCCAACAGCCTACCGTAAAATTAAAGCAAACCAGTCAAATTAATTACATTGGTAGTATGAAATTTGATTTTGATTTGGGATGGGTACCTTGGCGTCAAAGAAGAAGTACGCATCCAAAATTCTGAACCTGTGTTTAGGCCGATCTTTTCTGAGCATTTAGTAAGGTTAGTGAAATGCACTTTTCTAGTCCTGACCACATACGTAAAACATGTAAAGAAAGTATAGCACAAAAAATAAAGAAAATCAGCAACAATTGTTTGCATCCTTCAAACCTAAAATACATGTGCTTTAGCAAAAGAAATCTGATTAATACTTCAACCATGAATCAGCCTCTAAGAAAACAGAAACAAAATCATGTCTATGAGCCTCAAGTTCCGCAAATATATATACACTTCTTATTACGTTAGGAAAAGAAAAACATGCTAAAATAAAAAAGAAAGGAACATATTCTCTAAACGATCGTAATTTTTGATTGACATAACATATACCATTCCTCTTTCTTTGATCCCGTCACTTCTGAGGTGAATATAGCGATGCAAAGCTGGTGAGTAGTGGTGCACTGCAGAAGGGAAAAGAAAAGATATCGATAATAATTGGAAACGAATAGGGAAAAATAAATAAAACAGCATGAGGTGGTACCGAAACGCAAAAAGATGTACAGAAAACAACACTATTATATGCCCAAAACAACGCCATTTTCTGGGAAGTTGTGATATATGAAAATCAAAATTAAATTCAGGGCAAAAAAAATCAGGGTTTCAAATATCAATCCTATGATATACACCTCACTTTGAGTTCAGTATTTCTCAGTGTTATTACAGTTTCCATATAAAGGATATCAATATACTTGTATAATAATGTCAGTGCTACCACATAAAAACATGAAATTGCTTATAGGAGAAACATAATATGCTATGTATTGTTAGCTAAAACAATACATATATATACTCCAACACAATCATAAGCTTTTTGGTTGAACAGTTAGCTTCAGAATAATTTCTCTTTTCATTATACATGCTTGATAAAAGCATCTTAATTAGCTTAGGAACAAAGATATACCTGGATGAATCTGCATGAGCAGCCAAAGATGGCTGTAAACGTCAATCCGCAAAACCAATTCGATACTTTAGCCCCATCATCGAAAACGCAGCCGGATACCTACTCTCTGGTGGCAGGTGGCAAGCTATACCTCACCGCCACCACCGTGATTTTTCTAGCCTCCGTAAACAACCACATCATCCGAATTAGATCCGAGATCGATTTAGGGGAAATGATGGTGGAATAAGGGAGGCAAATACGCAGGGAGAGGGGGGTCAACGGGTCGATGTGGTGGAGACGCCGTCGGAGGAGGAGCTCGGATTTGCCGCGGCTTCCGTATGGGTTACAGCTGGGGGATTCAATCAAGGTTTACAACAACGCTGTACAAATTCCTGTGTTTAACACGAAACAACAATGGATATTATAAGTTTGAATATTATTTGTTTTTTATGGGAAATTTAAAGAATCTATATAATATATAAAAGTTGAATTGCATGCCTAATTGATTGACATTTGTCAATTTCAAATGATGACATGTCCTTAATTTCATCCCATGTGGCAAATTGATTGGTGAAAATAAATCATCAAAAAACATGTCACCATTTTCCAAAATTAAAAAGATATTTAATTATTTTATTATATATTTATATCATACCATTTATAAAATGCTCTAAATATATCAACTTTATTGGAAATTCTAAATAGTTTTATTTTTTAATTTAATTTTAATAGTAATTAATTTAATTTAAATTTATTTAAATTCAATTTAAAATCTTCACTTATTAAAATTGTATGATTGATGGTGTTACGAAAATTGTGTATTTTAATTCATAAACTTGGATTTATATAAACAAAATATTGCATAATAAATCATTTGATATTATACATTTTACATGAACATGACCAGATAATATGTTTATCTTTTTTACTAATTTAATATCATATTGGTAATTACCAAAATTTCTCTAATGTTTGCTTCCATCTTACATCGACTCCCTTATGGTATGATTTTTCACGGCATTTTTTTTTATTATGTGGAATATTCACCGAAAAATGCAGATTCTACCCTGGACACGACATTTGTTTATGGTACTTTTCAAAGACAAAAATTACCGTGAGGGGGACTTTACACGAAATATTTATTCTTCTTAAATAACATTTTCACAACTTTTTAGTACTACTATTACCTCCCCTCAGGATAATTTTTGTATTTAAAGGTAAGACTAAACAAATGTCACGTCTGCAAGGGTAGAACCCACATATTACATGGCATAAAATAGATTCCGCAAAAAATCACACCATAAGGGGGTCGTGTAAGACATAAACTAACATCTGGCGATTTTGGTAATTACCGACAAGTGGGGTGTGTTTTCCGCAATTTATCCTAAGTGCATGAAGACTTTTCGTAATTTATCCTACTAACAACAATTAACGTTCTTTTCACGTCTTAACGTTCGCCGATACCCTAATATTAATTCAAATAATTTAGATGACAGTTCGATACAAAAAGTAACTATCAACTTCAAATACATGCCATACGGGTTTCCTCATGTATCACGTACCACATATACGGAATTTGATACATAAGTTGCGCGATACAATATAACTGTTTTTTATACTAAATATCACATTACTGCAACAACATTGATGCAAAATCAGAATTACGACTGTGATTAGTATCTCTCAGAATATCTATAAAATTAATATTCTTTGAATTAGTATTAGTATTAATACTATGATTAGGATTCGGATTAATATAGTATTATCATTAATATTAGGATTAGGATTATAATTATGATTAAGATTATTATTATAATTATAATTAAGATTGTGATTATTGATTAGTACTACAATTAGTGACATGTATTAATATTATAATTATGATTAGCATTAGGATTATGATTATGGTTAGAATTATAATTAGAATTAACATTACCATTAGCAATTGTATTATTAGTAGTAAAATTATTAGGATTATAATTAATGTTAAAAATAGGTTTAGGATTAGAATTATGATTATGATTAGAATCATGATTAGTGTTATATATGAATAGGATTAGGAATAGGATAAGGATTTGGATAATATTAGTATTGCAATCATAATCAACATAAGCATATCCAGATTAACATTAACATTAAAATTATTATTAGCATTAGAATATGTACATTAGCATTAACATTAACAATATTAACATATTAGTATAAGAAATAGTATTAATATTAGTATTAGTATTAGTCTTAATATTAGTATTAGTAATAGTATTAGTTTATTAGTAGTAATATTAGTGTTAATATTAGTTTTAGTATTAGTATTAATATTAGTATTAATATTAATATTAATATTAATATTAGTCTAAATATCAATATCGGTATCAATATCAGTATCGGTATTATTATCGGTATCGACATTAGTATCGGTATTGGTATCGGCATCGGTACCGATATCGGTATCGGTATCGGTATCAATATCAATATAAATATCATATCAGTATCAGTATCAATATCAGTTTCAGTTTTAGTATTTATATATATCCGTATCAGTATCAGTATTAGTATCAGTATCAGTATCAACATTTGTATCAATATCAGTATCAGTATGAGTATCAATATCAGTATCAGTATCAATATCAATATCAGTATCAGTTTCGATATTAGTACCACTATCAATATCAATATTAGTACCAGTATCAATATCAATATTAGTATCAGTATTAGTATGAGTATCAATATGATTGTGAGTATCTGTATGAGTACGAGTATCAATATTAGTATGAGTATCAGTATTGTATGAGTATTAGTATGAGTATCAATATTAGTATTAGTATTACTATGAGTATCACTATGAGTATCGGTATTAATATCAATATCAATATCAGTATTAGTATTAATATTAGTATTAATATTAATATTGCTATGAGTATCAGTATTAGTGTAAATATCAGTATCAGTATCAGTATTAATATTAGTATTAATATAATATTACTATGAGTATCAATATGAGTATAAGTATTAGTATCAGTATCATAATTATTATTGTTATTAGTATCAGTATTAGTATTAGTATTAGTATTAGTATTAGTATTAGTATTAGTATTACTATTAATATTAATATTAGTATCAATATCACTATTAGCATCACTATAAGTATCAGTATTATTTTTAGTATTAGTATCGGTATTAGTCTTATTCTTAGTATTAATATTAGTATTAATATTGATATCAATATAACTATCATTATCAATGAAAGTATCGGTATTATTATCAGTAATAGTATCAATATTAGTATTATTCTTAGTATTAGTATTAGTATCAATATGAGTATTAGTAGTACGTATTATTATTAGTATTAGTATTAATATTGGTATTAGTATTGATATGAGTACGAGTATGAGTATTAGTATTAGTATTAGTATCAGTATCAGTATTACTATTAGTATCAGTATTAGTATTAATATTAGTATTAATATCGGTATTAGTATTAATATCTGTATTAGTATTAGTATTAGTATTAACATTAGTATTAGTATTAGTATTAGTATTAGTATTAGTATCAATATCACCATAATTCTCAGTGTAAGTATTAATATTATTGTAAGTACTAGTATCAATATTAGATTTATTTTTAGTATTAGTACTAGCATCAATATGAATATTAGTATTAGTATTAGTCTTATCATTAGTATTAGTATTAGTATTGGTACGAGTATGAGTACGAGTATTAGTTTTATTAGTATTAGTCTTAGTATTAGTATTAGTATTAGTATTAGTATTAGTATTAGTATTAGTATTCATATTGGTATTAGTATTAGTATTAGTATTGGTATTAGTATTAGTATTAGTATTAGTACTAGTATTAGTATTCGTATTAGTATTAGTATTAGTATTAGTATTAGTATTAGTATTAGTATTAGTATTAGTATTAGTATTAGTATCAGTATCACTATCAGTATCAGTATCAGTATTAATGTTTGTATTAGTATCATTAC